GACAGTTAGAACTAATCAGTGAACAACCTGCCTCCAGAAGTTCTGAATTCTCCAACACTGGAAGTTTTTAAGAAGAGACTGGACAACCATTTGTCTGAAATGGTGTAGGGTTTCTTGCCTGAGCAGGGGGTTGAACTAGAAGACCTCAAAGGTCCCTTTGAACTCTACTAATCAATCATTCATTTTCTTGTAACATATGGGTTCTTTAGAAACCAATCACTTATAAACTATTTTTTATTGTTTTTAATATATAACCTGAGCAATTTTAAGTGACCCCCCCCCCAAAAAAAAAAATTGGGTCTAGACTGACTTTAGGGTATCTGAAATTAGTGGGACTTAGGTTTCACCTAAACCTTTCAGAATGTAACATATTTCAATAGTACAATTCACTTTGAAAGTGTTAGTATGGTTAAGTTTTCACTTTTAGAGTAAATTCTTTTTGGGACGAGAATTATATATAATTATTTTCATGTATTCCAAAGAAACTAAAAATAACTCTGAAGTTTTTATTTGGACATGAAAAGTACATCAGTAACATTGGATGAAATTGTGATAAAATTGTGATAAAAGTAGGTTTATCCCACTTTTAATTTTGTCATTAGACCCTCAATATTTAATTATTCTCAAAAAAATTAAGTAGCAACTGTGCTTAAGGATTATACATGTAATACTTTTAACTAGAAATCCTTGATTTATTGCACTTTACATAGATATATATACACACATACAAGACAGTTGTCCCATATATCGCTACAAGTAACTTAAGAGCAAAGTACAACTGACATTGAAAGTTACAAAAGACTTCTGGAAATAATAATTTTATACAAAACATAATTTACAAATTTGTAACTGTACACACAAGATTTATATTCCACTTTGTTTTCTTAATGTCAAGTTTCATCTTTCAATAGTACACATTTCCTTTTTCACATGTATTTTTCTCAATAGATACTTGTGTAAGAAGAATAGTGAATTTATGAATCTTATTTAAAGTACCTGAGCTCAAAAGGAATATTGTTGTCCTGTACTGACACATATATAAACCCTGTTAATGTACAGTGCTTCGTACTTCTGTTATAATCAGTAGAGTATTATACAGTCTAGCAAAGCTCAAATTCAAGTACTATAATCATAATTGGAAGAATGTGAGATATTCACTCTGTACATATAAATTACATTGAGAGATGATTAAGGTATATTATTCCTTACAGTCCATCCCCATAAACTGCTATAACATTTTTGCTAGATCAGGGGTGTCAAACTGCCCGCCCATGGGCCGGATGCATCACGCCAAAACTGCACCCACCCCATTCCCGGCAATGGGAAAAAAGTCACAATAGGTCACGACACATCACGTGACGTCGCGAGTGTGATACCCGTGTGCTAGATGATAGAATCACATAGCAAAAGGCAAATAATGGATAATAAGAAAAACATCCACTATCAACTCTGGGCAACAATGGATATCTCAATATTTATAGGCTATGACTGTCATAAAGAAATAGGATGATATTGCACCAATTTCACTGTGAAATAATTTGTGACTGGAGCAATAATAAACTTTGCTGAGATGGAACATTCAGTAGCTAATTCTAGTTGTCCTTACCCATTATGAAATTTTGGAAGAAAAATGGCTTTTTCACCACTATACCTATATTTTAGCATTGTTAATAGTTGTGATTTATATTACAACCTTGTTTCCACTAGAACTAATCAGAAATTAGCTGAAATACTGTCCTTATGTAGAAAAAGCACAACCGGGAGCAAAACTACCAATTTTGTACATTTGTAAGATATTTCTCAGACATATCTTCCTTTAAAGCAATATTCTGATTAGTTTCCAAGATAGTCAAAACCTCAGTGGAAATCAATAAACCCCAAAGTAGCAAGATATTTAAACTAAATCTGTCAATTGCCAAAATGCTAAAATAAAAATCTCATTTTTCAAATGAAAATATAAAATAACCATATTAACATGAAACACCTTCTAGGCAACGTCATATATAAGACTACGAGTTCTTGGCTTGGGCATAAAGCCAGCTGGGTAACAGTGGATCAGTCACTTTTTCTCAGCCCTAGGAAATAGGCAATGGAAAATACTGAAAATCTTCTGGCCAAAAATCAAACAAACAAACAACAACAAAAAAAAAACCCTGCAGGGATTTGTCCAAATAATCTCTAAAAATCCAACAAGATTGAATGGAAAGAAAAAAAGTATATTAAAAAAATTACCTCCAAGGTATTTACATAAGCATAGTACTTGTGGAATATTCAAAAGTATGCGTAATAACCCATTTTTTAAAAAACAAAAATTACAAAATACCATATCCAGGCAATCCTCAACTAGCTGCCATTTGTTCAGCAAGTGTTCAAAGTTACATTGGTGTTCAACAATGATGATTTGGAGCTTTGGCCATCCCAACAATCCTGCAGTAACATGATTGCAATCTGGGCATTTGGCAACCAATTTGCACTTAGTGGGTTTCCCAGCATCCTGCAATCATATGCTCAAAAGTCAATGGGAAAGCTGCAGGGAAGGTTACAAATTGTTGGAATAAGTCATTGCATCCCCTCACACCACTCCCTGACCTGTGCTGCACCTCTCATGGACCCTTTCCTACCTGGCAGCAGCTACTTATCTGCCTGCCAGCTTGGGACTTGCACGTTTCCCTTTGGTTGTGGGAAGGTGCCAGGAAGGTGCCTCATCCAACAATTGTGGGATTCAATTCATAACAATCAGGACTTCAGGAATTGCCTTTGCTAAGTAATGTAGTTGTGCTTTACAGCCGCATTGCTTAGCAATGGAAATTCCAGTCCCAATTATTGTTGAGGACTACCTGTAAACCAGTAAGCTTGGAATATACTTTCTGTCATTGATCCACAACCTTTGTCTAGTTGGGTAGCCAGAATTCAACTAATTCACACTGAGGAAAGAACTTGCATCAAATGTGAATCACACCAAAAATAAGGTCCCGCACCAAACTGCTTGTTTAAAGAAGAGGACTGAACAACAGTACAACTAGATGTCTGAAAGCCAGAAAATAAATGTTCCCTTTCAAGTCCATTTTTTATTTTTTAATATAAAAAATTGAAATTTGTGGTTATAAACTGTAGGAGTAGAAGCATTCCATCCACTCTGCTGAAATATTAACTCCATCATGCCTCGAGCACTTTCTCTACAGATGAATTTAAGTGGTTGAAATAAATATCCTGTACCTACTGCAAGCTTTGTTTATTTATTGCAAACTACTAATATACATGCTGGCCAAGTATGAAACTCCACTAATGAAGTAGTTATCATTATGGTCTGATATATATTTTTCTGACCATTTCAGAATAGTGTATACTGTATATTTTTACCCACAATTAATTTTCAATAATTGAAATTCAAACAATTTAGAACAGCATGGATAAGCTCCAGAGGTTTCTATTGTGCAATTTAATAAGTAACGACAGAAATTACTTTTACATTATGAATTACTGTGATTAATCTTTCAGGACAGCACAACCCAACAAAACCAACAGGGAAATGTGGCCCAGGGGAAAACAGGAATTTGCTTTTTTCTCCTCCTAGTAAAAGCAATGTCATATCACTTTGGATTAAAGCCACTTAAAGGGGTTGGTGTTTCCATACATGTGTGTGAAAGTGTTATGTGGGTGCGTAAATGATTCCATCACCTATTTCATAAGATTTAATACTCTATACGGTGTATAATGCATCCAACATAATAGATGTATTTTAGAAAAATGAAATCAAATGCATAATCTTTCTAGTTAAGGATTGAGTAGGGAATGGCATTTCTAACTTTGGTATTTCTGGGACATATGTAAAGCTAACTCATCTCAGCCTTCTTCTAAATATCTAATTTAAATCAAATGATATTTACTTCAATTTGCATAAATGTGAGGATAATTCTTAAAACATTTACGTACATTTGCTATAATCCCTAATTATACTAAAAATTTGCTATAGTATGCATAGTCTTGTAGAAGATAGTTTCAGTATGAAACATCCTGTTCTAGGTTTGAAATAGCTGTTTTAGTCTAAAACAGACTAAAGTTTAGACTTCTCTCACTATAGCCCAGGAGTGTCAAACTGCCGGCCCACGGGCCGGATGCGTCACGCGGAAGCTGCGCCCACTCTATTGCCGGCAACGGCAAAACAGTCCTGATACGTCACCTGACATCGCGAATTTGACATGTCTGCTATAGCCAAAATAATGCTACAACCCCTCTGGCCATAACAGGTAGAACTGTTGTTTCAAGGAAAAAGACTTCTATATCCAAACGTATCACCATCTCTAACTGAAATAATGAAACTTAGTTAACAAACACATCTGATGCCAATTATAGCTGTTCTGAATACAGAATTCCTACAATGCAGTTTTTAAAAATCCTTTCATATTCAAAACTATATATTTTTTTAAAAAATTAGAATGATTATAGAACGGAAAGAGTTATTTGGGCATAATCCCACAAATGTTCAGAGCATTACAAATACTTAAGAAAAGATAACATGAGGTAATCTTTAATTTCTTTTTTCATGTTTATAATTAATAGCTAGAATACTTTAAAGGAGTTTGTGTGTGAAATCAACATCTCCTGTCTCAGGGATCCACATAAATAAACCCACACCTCAAATCTTTAGAGAAAAATGCAATATATAAAAGTTGATATATTGAAAATTGGAAAGGGTTCTTGAATGCATTTGCAGAAGTTTTGATGTGTAACATTTATGATATAAAATGGAAGGTACACTACAATCACTAAGAACCAGTTACTTTGCAAAAACAAAATCCAGAACAAATATAATGCAAAATTGATTTAAAAGCTTTGTTTGCTCATCATTTTGAAACACTGTTCAAAATGTAAAGACTGAAACTATGCATTTCCATGATCAAGTTTTAAACCTGTGAGGATGAACATGTCTGTTTTCCAGTAGGCAAGTAGCACGCTTCCTGTGTGCTTCATCATTCAGTTTTCAGTATCCATTGTAGTGACTAACGTACTTCTGACTGTAATAGGGCACGTCGGATGGCAATATCCAGAATTTTTTTAAAATTCTCATAAGATTTTGTTATTGGAAGCTCTAAACAGTTAAAATCTCTATTCCCAATGGGATATTTTATATGCAGAAACTTAACTGAAGGGTCAGGATCAAAGCCAATGGGTGGAATATTGCGGATGCCAGTTGCAAATACTAAGATATCCTCTAGAGTTACAGATGACTCACCACCTACATCAAGAAATATGAAGATTGTTTTGAAAAAGCCATTGTAGTTAATCAAAATATCACATTAGTTAAGAAATTATAGATGAAATGGAATAATATTTTGACTGCAGGAAATCGTAACTGCAAATATAAAATAAAAGTGCAAAACAAGCCTTTCTCCACCAACAGTGCAATCTGATGTTTCTTATTTTACAGGTACAAATATATTTCAAATGTTCAAAATTCTAGAAGTAGGCAATATCCATTTTCTTACCTTCTGTCTCCTGTAAGTAACCCATCCAGAAATCAAGGCATCTGGCCTTGTCTGATCCCGATAAACAGTGAATTGTAAAGAGATCACCAAGAAGTTTTGCTGAAAGTTTCTCGGGTTTGTGACATAATATGCTACAGAATGCATCGGGATTCATTTGTATTTTTTCCAAAACACCAAGTGTTTTCAAACCTTGTCTAAAGCTTTTGGGGAAATAGAGAGAGAGATGCAAAGAAAGAAAGTGCTATGAGTCTTTAGTGCTGTTTTTTTTAAAAAAAAATAAAAAAACCCTTGTGGACACTACCAAATTTATTTTTACATCAGATTCCTCTTATTTTAAAGCATAAACATCCTAGCTAATCTCTAATAGCAAGAGGATTTTCAATTATGTTTACTAAAATGACTTCTGTGATTGCTTCAATTAGAAAGGCAAGCCCATACATTCTTACTCATAGCATGTATTCTTTATCCTTCCACCCATATGTTCCAAATCTACTAAAATCTCTTGAAATATATTAGAAAGCTTCATAACCTTTTTGCTTGAATAACATATGATTGTTGAAACAATCCTCAAAGGATTTCCAAGTGTTGAATAACAGGGTTTTTTTAACCTACACTTTACCAAAATTATTCATTAATTTTTCAATACTACTTGATTAGAGAAAAAAGCAATTCAGTGAAAATAAGACATAATGAGCAAACATATTTTAATGTACACCTACAGGACATCACATAATATTTTCTTGCAAAACAGGTTGAAATTCTAACTAATTCTTAGTTAAAAATTTAAAATTGATAGGAATGATTTCCAGAGCATGCAAACCTTTCAAATGGTAAAATAGTTCTTTTGATGACATGGTGATTCAGAATCTCATTCACCAATATATTCTTGTCACATAGTGCTGTTACAGATTTCAAACATTCAATAGAAGCAAGATAGTCAGAGCAATCATTTATTGCTGATTCTAAGCTGCCCAGTGTTGTGGCAGATTTTATCTGCAGAAGAAAACCAAACATATTTGCACCATTAATGAACCATTCAAGCTAACACATTCCCTGGGAACAACCTGTTCCCTTCCTCCCACTATATCTCTCCAGGCCGGTCACCACCATAATACTCTGCTTCATCCCATCTCCTCAATGGTAGCCCTATCCCCAAATGTAGGTCCCCCAATTCCCAAGGCCAGAGATCTCCCACTGTCTTCTACAGCCATCTCTGGGAGGGGAAGCCAGGTGCCCTGAGGCACTTTAACTTCACTAATTCTCAGTGTCATAATGATTCCCAGTAACCACCTCCCATTCTACCGCTAGTACTCACAGGGGATCCCGGTCCTGCTGTTCTCACCAATTGGTTCTCACCCAGAGGGAAAATCAGTCCTCACTCCTCAGTGGGAAACCAATGGGCTAGCAATCAAGGCACTTAGCCATCATATGGAAGCCATGACATGATCTACAATTGCTTTCTTCCTCCTTGGGGTTACCAGGAGAATAGGCAAAATGATCTCCATAGTAGAGGGGGTAGACAATAGTCTTCCACTGAACTGTAACACCCCTCTGCCACCCTCATACCTCCAAAGCCTTAGCATCCATCAGTGATAAACAAATGGTGCAGGAAGGAGCGCCATGCCCACAACCACTGTTCACAAGTGCAGTTGGTATTACAGGTATGGCCAGAGCAGCAGAACAAATGCAGCCCATCCTCCAATGCAGCCTGAATAGGTCCCTGAGAAGCAGACTGAGCTGGTGTGAAAAAAACACCGTCTTGTTGAAAAAACTGCTGCCAGATTGACAGATGCATCTCAGCTCGGTAGGCAAGACTAATGCTGCAGAGTGGTTCATCCTGAAATCTGCTCCTTCAGTCTGAACAAGTCCAAAAATAGCCCAAGCATATCTAGAAATCCAACTTCCACTTAGGTATGTGCCACCTCACTCAAAAACATCCTTCAACACACAATCATGAGGACTCTCTAACCTATTTACTAGAAGTTTATATATATCCTACTGTCTTACAGAGCAATTGCTCACCTTCTCTATTGCCTGCAAAATGTTTACATCAGCAACATCTTCTATTGTTGGCTTCACATTTTCTGTGCCATAGGCGAGACAGTGAAACAAGGTTTTGGAAAAGAAGCTAGGAGATGAGCCTCCATGAACCAGAGAAACTGCAATCATTTTCCCTGCTTCGAAGTATAAATTATCTTTAAGAGCTGCAAGTACAAATGGTATGTTACACTTACTGAATATGACTGGTAGAAACTTGTTTTAATATGAGAAAAAAGTTAGACCAAAATCCATTCCATTCCCCATGATTCAGTCAGAACTGAAGGAGCTTCTTGGATGAGAAGCAAAACGTTTTCAAAGAAAAAACAAGAAAGCCTGGTTGCCTTTTGAAAAGCACGTTTGGGACAACCATGACTTGGATGATTGTGAATCTCCGTGGACATTTAGACCAAAACCTAGTATTCTTTTTTCTACATCATTAGTTACAATTAGAAGCCTATAAGGCCAAAAAATGGCTCTTTCATTTCTTCTGAGAAATAAATATATGATTTTTTTTTGTGAACTTGGACATTCAGTTTAGAATCTAAGAATGGAATCAGCAAGAATAGCATCAAGTCATTTCTGAAATTTCATTTGTTTTATTTATGATTTATGATCGTTATGATTATTCCTTTTAATGTGTGCCCTTTGCTTCTTCTATTACACAGGTGACTATTATTCCCTGTTGATAGTTGGAAATTCTGTTCTGAATCCTTAAATATCCCATCACTACATTTCATTCAATAAAATCCATATATTTTATTCAATAAAACCCATTCAATAAAACTAGTAAATAGGCATTTATGGGAGAAAAAAAACAAGTTCTGTTTGAGCTCTAACTTCTTTAATTCCTTCTATTACTGCATCCCCCAAAACCATTATAAGAAATGTGTTTTAAAGCCTGGCAACTACCCAGGGAAAAATGTTGACTTAGCATAAGCTGAGGTCAATAGAGGAAACTGAATTACAAATGCAGCAGTCTTGGTTGCTTAATGACTGTTTGAAGTTACAAGACACTCATAAAATTTTTTTACAACCTCTCCTTGAAGTTAAAACTGTCACACACACCCTCCCCAGTCATGTAATAGCATTTTGGGTGCTTGACAATCTATTTACAATTATGACTGGTTGTCAAGCACCCTGTGTTCATGCACAATTGATTACCATTTGCAATCTTCTTTGCTGGCTTCCCCAGAAAGTTAATGGGGAAGCCTGCAGGGAAGATTACAGGCTGCTGCCACCTGTGGAAGGATTTCTCTTCCCCTCAGTCCAAGGAGGGAAAATCCTGTGGGGGCTGGATAAACAATGATCTTTGGGATGCAAACTTTCCTCCAGCTGAGCACTGGATTTCTCCCCTCCTCCCATTGGGAAAAAAAATTTGAACTTCTTTCCAGCCTTCCTACTATCCAGAAACATTGTGTCCACTAGCTTTCTAGCCAGAAACCTAGCAAGCATCACATTTTTGAACAGTAGAAAGGATCATTCCAGCCTTTCTCGCCTTCAGAAACATTATGAACGCCTGTGCTCTTCTTGCAATTGTTCTCAATGGTATAGAAAGCCTCTTTCAACCATTCAGAAATATTACATTTGCTAGCTTTCTGGATAGAAAACTAGTGAATGCAATATTTCTGAAGGGTAGAAAGGCTGGAAAAAACCTTTCTCCTGTTGACTTGGTTACATATTATCTCACAATGTACCAGTAAGCCTCATTTTAATTTTTACTGGCTGGAGTAAGCTGTCCTAATCAATGGTGAAGAAAAGTCTATCAACATACAGTATGAACTCTTCACCATTCATTAGGCCAGCTTTTTCCAGTTAATGAAAGGAAGAAGTGATTGTGAGATAATATACTAATCAAGTCTTCACAGTTTGAAAGAATTTTTAAAATGAGCCACACCAATTCCAGACTATTGGGAGTAATTAAAACATTGTGAAACAGGACACTATTTACCCTGAACTTGAGACAAAACTTACAATATATATTGTTTGTTTTGTACTTAGCCCAAACATCTGAAGAAGCCATTTTAAGATATTCTAATAGTTAATATTAGAATAAAGGCTCCTACTTCTGCCACCATTATTTATGTCTAAACATAGCTAGCAATCAAAGCTACATCCTCTCCTGGTGTATATTCTAAATATTTATGTCAAGCTTACCTTGAGAATCAAAGGACAAATTCTTTGAGTAGCCCCCTTCAAATAATGATGAATTCTGAAGATGAAGCATCAGTAATTGAAAAAAATCTTCCTTTGATGAGCAACAGAGACCCATCTCTATTTTATTCCTGCAGCTTACATACTTTACTTCAATAGTGTTAGCAGGATTGAAGTTCCGCTTCTGAAATCCTTTTAGAGCACTATCCCAGATATTTTGTCTGTTGATATTCAGTCTTGTTGGTTTGGTATTAATCTGTAATCTTAATTCCCTCAGAATATTGGAGACTTCTCTTTTCTGCATTCCAAGTTGCCTATATGATAGCAAAAATCTATTTAGGAACTTCAGCAATAATTCTGATGGCAAGCAAGTATGAGGAGTAATTTGTATAAAATTATTCAATAGTTATAATAATGGACTAATTGTAAATAGGGAAACAAAAGGATTATTCTGCATCCTAATTTGAGACCAGTTTAGAGAAACAACTTATTAAAGAAGCATCTAAAATCACATTTCTATTGAGATAGCAGAAAGTCTTGAATGGAATTCTGATTAAGTAATATTTCTATCAACAGAAGTATAGCTTTTTATACCTCTTGAAAATGTGCAGTGGAGCATAATCTTCCTGGAATAGTGTAGTCACTTCCAAATATTTATGGGAGTGAAATACTCCCCTTTTACATTTGAGATCATTGGATCGTAATCCTGTCTCATAATGGAAGATTCTGTCTACTGTATCTGCATAAGTCTTTAGATTCACTAATTTTGAAACAATGGGAAGGATCCTAAAAGCTAAAATTGTATTTATTATTACTTTACAGTTCTCAGTATTAGAAGGCAAACTATTTTTAAAAAGCAGACTAGTAGTAGAGCCAGATCAGTCCTACCAAAAATAATGGGAAAGTGTTACAGGAGAGGGTGGCATTCAATGAGTGGTTCCATATACCCACTCAGAATAGAATAGTTTTCTGCGGCCCAATTCTGAGATATGGTTGGAGAATGCCGTCTTTTAAAATATTGAAGAAATTTTTATTTACCAACTTGGTTGATCTATGATTGGAAGGAATCTTTTGGGATAAAAAAATTCAAAGCAATTTGCAGTATGATCTAAAGAAAAGTTAGTTTTTTTAAAACTCAATCATTAAATGCAACTCTTTATTAACTTACATTTTTCTTAGAGACAAATTCCTTACTGAAGGACTGATGAAGGCAGATGGGGGTAAACATCTGTTATTAGAAGAGGGAAGATCTAGTTGTGAACACTGAGTAAAACTATTAGAACATACCATCTTTGGGGACCTGAAGGGAAAAAGAACATCCCCAAGAATAACTTAATTTTTACCCAAGTTACAGATTTGTTTTACAAATCAAAAACGGAAAAGGTACACATTCAAGCATATTTAATCCCAAAATTACTTTGAATGCAGTTCTTCATAATCCAAATAGTTCTATCTATATTATATAATTCATCAAAGGTTATATTTTTAAAAAATGACCTTAAAATAATTATGCTGGTTTTATAGAAAGGGTTGTTAACATGACATAAACATTTGTGGATTCCTGACACACAACGAGCACATCAGTTTCTAAGACAGCAACTTTTTTGATCGTTAAAAAGATGCTTTAAGCAATTTCTAATAGAGGCATGGAATTCATCATAAAATGCTTGTTTGTTTACCTTAAAACATACATTCTGATTAGTTATAATTTAGCAAAATACTGACACAAGAAATAGCTTGAGCACAAATGTTTGGAAGCTTTTGATGCAGTACAGCCTAAAGTTCAACTCAAAGCTGTGGCTAATCTATTCTACTTGGCAATTTCTTGAAATAAGGTTTAAAGTTAACATTTTTTTTAGGATTTATTTCAAATATTTACTATAGATTGTCAGTATGAGTGACATAACAGTATAAATGAAGAAAATAAAAGCATCAAGCTGTTACGGTTATGTAGGGAAATGAAAAAAAAAATGACAGTGTATGAGCCTGAACGCACTGTGGCACATTTCAGCTTATTTATATCATGTTCAACTTTGGGTAGCATAAGTGCAGCCTATGGGTAATTTATTATTGTTCTTATATCCTATTTCTTTTTTTGTACACTTTAAGGTAATGCACTTTTGTACACTTTAAGGTAACATGATTCCATCTATTTTACCCACATCCACCAACCTGTGAGGCAAGAATGAGCTGAGACCCCAAAGTCATGCAGCTGGCTGCTATGCCTAGAAGAGGACTAGAACATCATGGTCTCCTAGTTCTTAGTTCTGCACCTTATTTACTACATCAAACTGGCCCTCTAAACAGTTTCACATGCTTGTTGAGAAGATGGAAATCACATGCCTGATATGTATGCCAAGGTGGGATCCTGGAGACTGTCTAGGGCATTTGGGCGATGGCTCTTCCATCAGACTGTCTCCATTTGCTTTTTCTGGAATACTCAAAGAACGCTTTCGCCATTTCTGAACACTTCCTGTACAACAAAGTAATCAAATGTGTTTTTTCCCCATAAATTATTAACAGCTTTCAGTTAATTCAAGCTTTACAAGCAGTAGGCTCTTACCATTTGATTTGGCAAGGATGGTCCTACAATCCATGCATTCCCAGTTTTGCTCCAAGCTTGTTAGTGAGGAACATGCCAGATGAGTTCCACTAGAACCACAACACTGACAGCGTTTTATTTCCCATTTGCTAAAAAAAAAAAAAAAGCAAAAATGTATTATAAATTCTAACAATAACTTTAATTCAACAAAGCTACATAGGCAATATCATTCTTTCTGAAAAGGAATTAGAACATACATTTATTGGAATGGAACAAAATGCAAGAGTGAAAGACTAATAGCATTTTAAAATATTCTAGGCTGCCTTTCTATCGGGAAATGAATTTATTGATACTTAATACAACTGTTCAACTACATTTTGTTCTACAATGCACTGTTATTGAATAACTGCTAAGAAACAGGCTGACATACATTACAAATAAGAACTGTCACAGAAAAAGCTATAGCAACAAACAGTCACAAGCCCTTTAGATTAGAATCTAATATATGGGCAACTCATTCCTACAGATAATCTATGCTGTCATCCTTAAAAGCTTTCTGAAAAAGCCAAATTTTCACCATTTGATAGAAAGTTGCTAACAATAAAGCTTCACTGGGAAGTGACATCCCATTAACTCCAAAGAGTAGCATATAGATGAGATCTTTAATCTTTATACGATTGCAGATAGGTATATACTTATATTTCTTTTAAAACATAACTTTTTCATAACTATCATTATAATAAAAATAGAATTATTCAACATTTCAAATAAACAATGACTTTGCCAAATATAATAAATTTGGTGCAGTGATTAAGATGCTGGTCTAGAAACCAGGAGACTGTGAATTCTCGTCCCTTCTTAGGAACAAAAGCCAGCTGGATGATCTTGGGCCAGTCACTTTTTCTCAGTCCAACCCACCTCACAAGGTTGTTATTGTGGGGAAAATAGAAGGAGGAATATGTATTATATATGTTCCCTCCCTTGAGTTACCTATACAGTAATAAAAGTGGGATAAAAGTCTAAATAATAGTAATAGTAGTAGTAGTAGTAGTAGTAGTAGTAGCACTAGTAATAGTATCATTATAAATAGAAAACAAATCCCTATCAGCAATTACAGTAAATGGTCCAGGATTTCTTTGGCTTACTCAATTATAAATTATTTGATTTTTTAATTGCAATTTTGTGTTTGCTATATTTGAAAAACTACGAAGAAATTATACATGAATGGTGACAAAGACAGCATAAATTACTACCTATCAGGTTCATTGTAGTCTCTCCCATTTTTGCAAAGACATCTTTTAATATCACAATGTTGGTAATGTTGAAGAAGTTCTTGATAGGCGTTCTCTTCCAGTTCCCAGGAGGCATCTCTGAATCATTCAAACATTTATTAGAATACTTTAATTCTGCAGTTTAGCTTTTCTTGTTAAACAAGAAACAACAGCAAAATGCAGCATAAAATATAATATAAATACACAATACAATAAGATAATATATAATAATTTAAATCACTTACTTTTCTGGAATATGGATGCCCATTCTTAACATTTCGTTCTGAAATTTTTCTTTATTATTACATACAGGACATCTAAAGAAATATACCCCTGCACTGAGAGCTTGACACTGAATCCAAGAGAAAAATAAAGAATGATCAATAAATGTTATTTACTTCACACAAAAACTAAATGCCTTTAAAGATTAAGGCATAATATCTGTAAGAACAAATAAATGATAGAGGTATAAAAGCTTGAGACATTTTTTTCTATTTCCTTTAAATTTTGTAAATACTAACTACAAGGGTTGAATGAAAAGTAATGCCTTCACAGTCACCAACAGATGACAATACAAATGCACTAAAACCTCTAAGATGTTCTTTAACGTCTGCCCTTTCATTTCAGTTGATAGAAGATCACTGTGACAAAAGGTTACATTGATATTGTTCATTCTTTGAAATGAAAGCCTGCAAGTATTCATCAGTGAACTTTAAGCAACATTCCATGTTTAATTTTTGACTGAAGAAGTCTCTCTTGGGACTTTCGTTGTAGAATATGTTTTTTTTTTGGCAATGACTGCATTGACATTACTGTGTGCTGTTGGGTCAAAAAAATGGTGAACAGGGAAGATCTGTGTAATCAGAATGAAATGGACAATTATGACAGCACATGAGAAATGCTGTTGAATTGATTAAAGACAACTGGCAGATTATTTAAAGGGACACTGCTGTCAAGCTTATCATTCAGCTTAGCAGGAACATGTGAATCACATTACCAATATAGTATCAGAAGGTTGGGCAAGATGGGTTGCAGATGATGGGTAACGTTCAAGAGTTGAAATTTGCCAGCAATTGTTGTCATGCTAAGAGAAGGAAGGTGATGATTATTTTTTTCCTAGCATCATGACAGCCAATGAAACATGGACTTACCCTGATGATCCAGAAATGAAGCATTAGTCCATGAAATATTATCACAAAGCTACACCTGTAGGAAAAAAAATTCAAAATCCCAGTTTGGCAGGAAAATACATGGCTAATTTTTTGGGACACAGATTACTTTTAATTTGGCACCACTATGAGCTCAAAGTACTTCACTGCAATACTCAAACTTTTGAAATAAAAATGTAAGCAGAATTTGGAAGGACAAGAAGAAAGTTTTGTTGCACCATGTCAATGGTAGGCCTCATAGCTTATGAACCACCCAAGAGGCAATTGTGAAGCTGGATCTTACTACCTTACCCCATTGGCCATACAGTCCAGACTTGGCATCATGCGACTTCCATCTTTTTCCCAAATTGAAGGAATACCTTTATGGGCACCTGTTTGAGTCAAATGAAGAAATGGAAAGGACTGCCAGGACCTGGTTGAAGAGACAAAGTATGGAGTTCTTTTGTGACAGCTTTCAGAAGCTTGTTCATCCTTGGCATAAGGATATAGTGAATGGTGCTGATTATGTGAATAAGTAAATGTAGGTAAAAAAAGAGCTCATTTTAAAGATTATTTCCCTATTTCATTTATTAAAATATCCTCATATAAACTAAAGTTATGGAGGTGGAGGCATTACCTTTCATTGCAACCTTATAGATCAAGTTTATAAGAGTTCCCTGGACCATGTCATACACTGATTTTCATTTCACTTCCAACCTACTTTTTAACAATAACAATTTACAGATTTTATTTTTAGTAGTGAAAAAGAACTTCTGCTATCTCAACCCAGACATACCTGCAAGCATTCCCTATGAAACCAAGCATTTTTACAGCATGGACTTGTCAAAATGTTGTATGCAGGTGCTCGTTCAACCAACTCCAAACATATTGTACATTGTGATGATCCTTTACAATTAGCAAGACGTTTTTGAGTGGGTCGATGTTTCCAACAATATGACCTTAAATCAGAGATAAAATTGCATAGAATCACATCACTTTAAAAAACTAGAATTATTACTCAGGTAAATCATGCACTTTAGAAAAAGATGTTCTCAGATATAGCTGTAAGGACCAATGTGCTTTCATATTAACTGAAATTAATCTGGTATTATTAAGTGGAACCTTGCAATTTTAGAAAACAAGTATTTCCAGTACTTAACAAAAGAGATAAAAGAAAAGGAAGACACAGAGTACTATCTAATATGGAACAAGTGGTATGACTGGTTGGAGACTACTTTATTATCTCCTCTTATTTACACCTTTCCAGTTTTCACCTTTTACACACATATTATTACATATCATTATTATTATACATAATAAGAATCATACTTCATATCATACTTCCTTCTTTTTACGTTTATTCTTTGTTGCCCCGTTGTTCCTGTTTATAAGATTTCTTCTTATTCCCCCCTTTTACATTTATTATCTTCTAATCCGTTACGAAATCGCTGTTAAAAAAAGGGAGGAGTATATACTGTGTGTGTATGTGTGTTATGTTTTGTTTTGTTTTCTTTTGTTGGTTTAAAAAATAAAAAAATATTTAAAAAAAAGAAATCGTTTTGAAATAATGAAGCAAAATAAACTTACGGAAAAGTTTCTCTGAATTGGAAAAGGCATCCTCTCTCTATTCCACAAGGAAAGTGGTAGCTTCGTTTGCATTTGGATGTTATACAACCAATTGAAGCACCTTTTTTCTTACAGACAGTACACTTCTAAAAAAATACCATATTAAATAATTATAACTAAGAAGACTTCACCACAATACTTATGCATCTAATCTGTAATGAATTGAAATATTTTAAGCGCTATACTTTTGTCTTTTTTAATTACCATTTATAGAAAAACAGTTATTTTGCATCAAAGCTTACACAAGAAAAAACACTAGTGTCATAGTGAAATAATTCATCACTGATAGTCAAATTGCATCCAGATGTTTTTGTTAATATTTGGTGCAGATAATTTTTAATAAATTATTAAATTCATAAATGTAATATACCTGCATAAGTTCTAATCTTAATATAAATTATTTAATTATTTAATAAAATATTATCAGCTCCTATAAATTGCAAGCATTAACTTTTTCAAATAAACCATACGGTTTTTTTTCTTTCATTTCATCACCTACAGATAAAAATCCTATAAACTCTATTGCATAGCCAATCTGGAATATAACTGTCTAACATTTTGTTTTCAAGAATGTGATCCCATAAAATAAAAAGTACCTTCCCTTTTATATTAACCTTAAGTCTGATATTCCCTCTCAGACCTAATCAATATCAGGCTTTGCAGCAAACCAGCTGATAAACAAACACCCATCAAATCACAACTTGTAGTTAGGTAGGTGAAAGCAATCCCAAAACAAGTAGACCCGGTAAATGTGCAGAACACTATTGTTACTGCTCACCTAGACACCTATTTTAGTCAATAGATTTATGAAACTTAGCCACAATACTAAAGTTAAATTAAGTACTTAATGGTTGCTAGTCTAAAGGACAGAACTTAATCTCATCTCAATTTGCTGCTCCCTCTTCAAATGCGTTCCCAAAAGTATGGCAGCTCTGTGTATTACAGCAAGGATACACACAGAGAGAAAGAGCAACAGACCACCATTTAAATCTTATTCCAAACCAGCCTTTCTCATTTTTTTTATCTTTGAGGAACCTTTGAAATAATTTTCAGGGCTCAGAAAAAGTCTACACGAAAATCACAAAAAATATAAACATTTCAAAATAAAATTCTCCTCTAACCTACATTTCACCATCTTCATAACAATAACAAAGCAGAGGTTGATAATGGAGTCATAGGACTAAACATTCCCATTGCATTGTGTGGCGTGCAACATTTAAATTAAAAAAAAAATTAATCACACTCTCTCATAAAATCCCTAAGGCTTCATGGAAACACAGTTAAGAAAGGCTGTTCTGAACCTTTGTATGAAAAGTTTATTTTTCAAGAAAGTATAAATCTGCTTTGGATGTATCTAAGGCAAAGACCTGATTAATTCAGCTGGTTTAAAAGTAACACAGTTCCAATTGCATGGTTGAGAACAAAATCTTACTTTTTTCTTTTTCAACCAAAATAGCTTAATTACATCTGTTACTGCTAATGTAAGTTTGGGATATATTTAAATTTATGAATATTTATAACTCCTTGGAACAGATTCATTATTCAAAATCTCTTACCAGTCTTGCAGCTCGATTAATTTCTTTTTGGATATCTTCAGGTAAAAAACCATAAAAGCCTTCTTCATCTTCACCTCTCTGCCAAATCCCACTTGACATTAACTATAATTTAATGATGAATTAAATCAAGTGACATTCCAGACATATCTGCATTAACTTTTCACCATAAGAAAGCATGTAATTTAATCATTACTGAGGTTTAGCTGCATTATAATTATGTGTGATTTTCAGCAAATTATTGAATCATGTTTGCAATATATTTGTCTTCACAATATGGCAATAGGTGTTGCCATTTATTCAGCACAGGTAGTCCTCACTTACCGACTGCAATTGGGAGCCACAACAGTCACTAAGCATCAGCTGTAAACTGAAAAGTCATGTGACTGTACCTGACTTAATATATCAGTTTTGTCTGTGGTTGTTAACAAATTGCCATAATTAGTTCAGTGCAATGTCACATGATTGCAACTTCTGCTTGGCTTTCCCATTTACTTTGCTTGTCAGAAATGGACTGTGAAGGTCACAAATGGCAATTATGTGACCATGGGATGCTGTGACTGTTGTAAATGTGCACCCAGATGCCAACTGCCTGAACCATGATCATGTGACCATGGGGACACTGTGAGAACTGTACCTTTGAGGATTGCTTGTAAATATTCTTCTTTAACACCATTATTCAAATGGTTACTGAATGGTCAGTAAGCAAGAACTACCAGTATACCTTTTTGCATTTGGTCCACATTTTCCAGCCAACTAAGAAATATAAAGCACAAGAACAAATTCAGACAGTTGCCATAATTCAGTTACGGCAACACCTTCTTCTGAGGAAATACAGACATGATTTGCTGACAATTCCCATTGTTTTCAAAAAGGTTCAGTTGTAAAGCTAGCATTGCAACCTTATTGTACAAAATGATATCCAGATCTTTTGCCACTTTCTAGTTGCATAGTTTTAAAATTTTAATCTGCATACTTTTAATTTTTTAATTGCTTTCTATTTATCTTTTTATGTTCTGTTAGCTGCCCAGTCACCCCATTGGGGAGATGGGCGGCATATAAACAAACAAATAAAAGATCTTTGGCAATTTTTCATGCTAAAAATAAGATATTTTTTTTCTGCTAAAGCATAGTATATATTGCTGAGAATCTTTGCATGCTTCTGACTCTCAATCTCAATGAATTCAGAATTTTTGACTTTCACATGACACATCTGCACATGGAGCTTTGGCATTATTCCTGCAATGGGGTTGTACCCCTTTGTTCCCATGCTGACATCATCCTTTGCTGTTGAAGCTCAGCTTTCTGTGTCACTCCCTGACCGCTTCTTTAAGACACCTTTTCTTGTCTAAGGATGTGTCTTCAGCCAGGAATAACATGTATTCAGGTAACAATGTGGATTGCCTAATACTAGTGTATGACCAATAATTGGCTGAATGTGAATAATAACCTTAAATTGAATTCAGAGAGGACAGCAGTGCCTATTGTGAAGGGTGACATTTCTCAATAGAAGTGGCAGATGTTCCATGTTTTTAATGGCATTAAAAACAATTCTCCATTGTTAGAAAGATTATGCATAAAGTTGAAAGTATTTCAAGATTCACATTTCTCTTGAATTTCCTAGATTGAAACAAGGAACAACAGAATCTTATTTCAGCTAGGTTTATGCACCTACCTGTACTCCTTTTAGTTAGTAATTTGAAAGGAAATTGAGCTCTATAATACAATCTATTTATTTGATTTTGTTAAATAGACATATATTATAACACAGATACCATAAGAGCAGCCTGTAGATTATCTAACTTTCCAATAGACTCCCAAAGTTCTCCTGGTGTAGCAAGAAGTACTTACCACACAGTAATAATGAACAGTGAGATTATAGTCCTCATAGGTTCTTTTTTCCCCATATTTTTCAGGACAGTCATCAGTCCGTTGACAGAATTCACAGGCTAAAAGATAAAAATAATGTTGTGTGGACACTATGAAGTTCTACTGGTTATTGGGCATATAACAAGGTAACCAGAACATCATGCAGTAGTTTTGTATATTTTATAAATTTCTCTGAACTATTAAGACAAGTAAATTATAGTAATTACAATCCCAGAAATTACTTCTGACTGCATTCATATATAAACAAGGTCACTTGGAAAGTTATTTATTTAGCAAATTTATATGGCTGCAAATTTATATCTTAACCAACTAACACCAGGTAGCCAACAAAATATAAATAATGAAATAAAAAATAGAATAAACACCAATCTATTTAAAATAGTTGAGACTCCTCGCAGATTCTCTGTAAGGAATCTCAAGTATTCTCTGACAGTATAACAAGATACACACATCAGGCTCTAGAAGCAACTTGGTTCATTAGCTAATGGAAAAGCCTTCAGGAAGGCATGTTTCCCATAACACTGTTTCACAGAAGATATGTGGAACATCCCACCATACAGATCTGCCACGATGGGCTGAAACCACTGGAGACGGATAGTCCCTCAAGTACTTGGCTCTATATCAAGTGACAACCAGCAACTTGAACTAAACTTAGAAACTTACCAGAAGCCAGTGCAGCTCATGTAGCAGTGGTGTTATGTGGATGTTCTCCACCGCTACCCAATGAATTCAAGAACAGCCCATACAGAGTGGATTGCAATAATCTATCAGGAAATGGCTAAGGCATCAATGACTGTGAACAGTGCCTCCAGATCTAGAAATGGATGTAACTAGTGTACAAAATTGTTTTGTGCAAGGAGCCTCCTGAGCACAGCTACCTCAAAGAGATCTGTGACTCCAGCAGGATTCTCAGGCTGTACATCAACTATCTGTGGGCATGCTATCCGATACAAACAATAGAAGATGTCCAGCTGAAGGGAGCTCTTAACCCACTGCCATTTAGTCTTGCGAGAATTGAGACAAAACCTCTTCTTTCCCATCTAGACTTTTCAAACATCACTTGGGCAGGAATCCATAACTGAGTATCATCAACATTCTGATGCTTTATCCTATACAATGGCTTCCTATAGCTGTAAATAGGAGTAGGTAGGGGGCCTAGGGCTAGTTGTCAACCTCCCCCTCCATAACACAGACTGAAATTCAGCTAAGAGAAAGGAAAACAACCACAAAAACCATGTCTGCGTATCCCCTCCCAATTCTCCCAGCTGGTCTAGTAGAATGTCATATCTACAGTACTGAAAGCCACTAAAGGAACCAAGGAGGGCTAGGACATATACAACATGCCATCATGAACTTGCCATAAAAATGACTAATGCTATCCTACTGCTGTAACCTGACCTGAAACCCAACTGAAACATATCCAAATAATTTATTTCCTTGAGAAACCTTGAGAGCGCCAAGTCTACCACTGTCTTAACAGCTTTCTCAAGAAAGGGCAGTTTGGAGAACTACCATGATCATATCTTTGATCAAGTACAAGACATAGTTATTGATCTGGAGAACTTAGCATTAAACTTTATTAATCTAATTAGAATTCAAAACATTAACATTGTAGTGTTTGTATAGTCATTAAAAATGCAATGATGATTAGTAATAATTACTACCGGGCTTGATTGTAAAAACACCCCAAAACACATGTTTAAATTAGTATCAGTTCTTTTGTCACCAAGGTTACTAAGTACAGGAAAGGCCAGAAATAGTTTAGTGTTCTGCAACCATACAATTTCCACAAATCCCAACCAGAATGGCTATTGCAGACCCACTAATTGAAGGCACCAAGCTAGAAGCTACATTAATTAAATCAAACATAAATAGTGAGAAACACTTACATAGATTCTGGAGGCATCCAATAATGTTCTTACTCATTCTAGAGTTCTCCATTCAACTAAGTCATACAAGAGAAAAATCAGTTGCTATACGATATTAAACTTTTGTCTGTGAATTATCTAATCCTCTAGAGTTTCAATGAAAAACAAACATGATAAGAAAAATAAAGAACTGCTCATTTTATATATATTCAATTTGCAACATGAAATGGAGCTTTGTTTTTTATCAGCAACTTGTAGAACTTTTTAATTATTTCTAACTATTGTTAACGATTTATAGCAACAGTATAATTTAGCATAAACCAAAAGTCAAAAATGCAAACACAGTCTCTTTTTAACTACACAAAATTACCTGGGAAAAAAATAAGGTATTCTTTGCTGTTCTTTTGTCTCTGCAAATTTGTGGACAGTCCTGCATTCAGTCTTCATCCAGATAAGAAAGATGATGAGGAGCAAAAGAAGAAAAAGACAGAGCAAACAAGAAAGGGAAGGAGGGGTAGGGGAGGGGAGTAGAGGGGAGTTAAATGTTTTATATCAAATGAACAAGCAAGGAGGCAGATGAGACAATAGATCATAAAGGCTACTACTCTGGTACAATTAGGTCACAAAGGTGTTGCTCTGAGGCATTACAGTTGTCATCCAAGTACTCAAGTCAGGGATCTCATAAGTCAATACCATTATATAAGACAGAATAGCAAAGCCTATTGGAATATAATGCTAAGTGTCAAATCCAAACTACATTTTTAAAAAGACTCAAAAGAACTGGAAAATAATTAAGTGAACAAAGGAAAATTTACAAAATTATAATGTTAAATCAATACTATTCTGCTTGGCATTTTTCTCCTAGAGATGTTAACTTATGCTACTTTTATGCTATGTGTTTGGAGATAGAGATTTAAAGGCAAATCTAACAAGTGGAGACAAAACAATTTATTCTTGTCAACTGAAAATAAAATAAATGAATTTGCAGTAATATTTTTTTACCAACTCAAATATTTTAACGTGAGAAAATAAAACAACTTCTGTTGGTTGAGAAATATAATATACATGCAACAATTTCAATATTTGTACATGGAACACATGAAAGGTTCTTATCTTGGTGAAAACTGTAAATCGGATGGAATCTGTATTCTTCTTGAAAATAGGAATACAGAGGTGCCTACAGAAGCAGGCAAAAGCCCTATCTCAGCATTTTAAATTATTTCTAGTCCCACATTTGAGATTTTATCCCCCAATTCCCAGAGCACCTTTTCTAGAAATACTAAGAAAAAAAAATTACATCTCCCCCACACTTTCAAAATAAGTGGCCTGTTACCAGTATTCCAATAGTAAAAAAAAACTTTAGAAGAATTTAATGTTTCAGAAAAGTAATAAACCATTGGTTTTCCCATGATTATTTTGAATACAGTACTAATGCACTATTGATGATCATGCAATTTGTATTTAGTTTGTAAGTCTTTCAAAGAAAATAGGTTTTGGAAAGTTAATTAGTAGGTCTATACAATAAGTTAATGAATGGGCAAGGAGGAACAAATTTTAAAAAAAGTATGCATACACACACACAGACACATCCTTCTTTGTTCATGAGGGGATATGATCTCCAAGACAAATCTTCAATGCAACAATAACTGAATATCACTTTTCAAAGTACTCACAGAACTTAAAGCTGTTTTCCTAGAAGCTTGTGTAAATGATAGGGGTCTTGTGTTCTCCGCCTTGATTGCATCTGATCACCAATCTTGCTCCATCTGCATTCTATAAAGATTAGAAAAAACACAATGACAGTTATTTTATCTGAAAAGCATAAATATTCGTTACTGTTAGTAAAAATATTACAAAGTGAAATGTTAGTTCCCCTATGAATCAAAAATAATACTCAAAACAATCTGATTCTATGTTAGCCTTCCAAATTCTTCAGATGTTTGGGCATCAATTCTTATAATTCTTAGCAGTTACCAAGCTGGTTGGAAATTTTAGAAGTCCATACACAATTAAAATTGTTCTATGGTGTTTTTAACTGCTGTTAGCTGCCTGGTCCTCACGAGTCCTACTGTGTTGCCTCAGGGTGATGGGTGTTCCTGGGAAAAATCTGTGAAGAACATTGGAAATGTATGCCAATATATACCGTATATACTCGAGTATAAGTCGACCCGAGTATAAGCCGAGGGACCGATTTTCCCACAGAGAACTGGGAAAAATTGGTGACCCGCGCATAAGCCGAGGGGGCATTTTGGCTGTTCCTCCCTGGCCGCCTCGGCCCCCCCGGCCCTGTCAGTGAGCGCCCGGCAGGGCGCAGCGTCGCCAGGCCTCCCCCCTNACTCGAGTATAAGCCGAGGGGGGCATTTTTCAGCCCAAAAATGGGCTGAAAAACTCGGCTTATACTCGAGTATATACGGTATATATTCTCAGCAGGATTACTCATGGTGTAGAGGTCATTCCAGCTATCCAGCAAAAGCAAACAGGCACCTGTGCTAAGCAATCACAAAATAGGAAGATGGTGGATTCACATTATCACTTTAGCAGCAATGGCAAAGGCGTTAATTCATACTGTGAGAGTAGGCAATGGCAAACTATTCTTATATTTTTACTAAAAAAATTACATGGATGGAATACGATTGACAATTCATGGAGAAAATCTATCTATATGGTCGCTAAGAGTCAACAACAACTTGATGGAATATATTCAATCAATCGTCCAAAGTCACATATTTGAGATGGGCAGTCATATAAATTGAAATATAAACAAATACATTTGCTGGCTTCATTTCATCAAACTGCAGCTGCTCTTATATGTATAAGACCAACTTGATGTATTTATTACATTAAATATATTTCATTATTTTATTGGTGGGAAAAAAGTTTGGATAACCCTTTCTGAAGAACTAAGGAATTCTCCAGTGAAATGTGCTTGGTCAGCTTCAGATTAAAAAAGAAAGAAATTCATTCCAATAACAAATAAATAGAACATTAAATAATACATGTCTGGGCAATTCAGGTATTTAACTATTTCTTCTTTGCTGGATGATTTCAAATTACAAGTAACCTTACTTCTCCTGATGCCTCTAAACAGAGATTCCTTTCCCAATGAGATCCTCTGGTATTCAGGGTCCACAAGTTCCAAGTACTTGAACAATGATATTATCTGTACAGATAGAATTTCCTGGACAGATAATTGAGGAATGTAGAATTTTAACTCATTTGGGGATATCATGGAGTGTAAAAATTACACTCTTAATTAACTTTAATCACCTCTCTCAAAGAAGAAATTTGTAAGATACGTTACACGATGATCTTCCACATTTCTATGTGTAGAGATGTGGAAAACTGAACTACCCACTGGTAAATGATTTCTGTATTAGGGCTGTAATAATAGAGACAGGCAAAATAACGTTTTAATATGAGCAAAACTTTGGAAGTGACCATATCCTTTGCAAGCCTCATCTGCTTGTTTCAAAAGATGCTCATAGTTACAGATTACAGATTAACAAGGAAGCCTTACAAAGCAAGTTGTTGCTTTGTTCATGCTAATGTGCTTTACAAAGCATCTCTCTGGAACCTTTTGCACATATAATGCAAGTTCAATTTACCTGACCTCAATCAATGGATTTTACATGGAAAAAAATGTTCTACAAAGATTAACCACATTTGTGTTACAATGTGACTAAACAAATATATTTACAGGAAAAAAAAACCTTAAAATTTTGCAAATGAAACAAATAATTGCAGGTGACATACTTTTCGATTTTAAATAATCATCAGGAAATAACGGCATCAAATTAATTTATAAAATGAAGTTAAGATAGTATTTTACTTCCACTAAATTCTTGGAACCCAGGTGAATGGCAGCTTGAATTTGGCTATGAAAAATGAATATTTTCAGATTTAATAAATAAATAAAGCAATTTTTGAAAGGTGGATTTCCTTTTTTTATTTTGTATATTAAATAGCTTTTATTATTTGACACCTATTTTCTCAAATCATGCTTTAATTACAACATTCTAAATGAAATATTATTAAAGCATCAAATAAAGCAATTCAACATCTGTTCATTGCAGTTGTAACAGTGTCAAGAAAATAAAACTGTACATTATAATCATAAAAATCAAAAAGACAATCTAAGATAGTGAACATAAATGGCTTTAAAAATCAAGTTTACAATGCCACGAATAAAACATTTCCATGTTAGTTTTAAAAAAACTATTTGTAACATACAAAAAAGATGCGGCAGAGTTTTAGATGCATGTTTTCCATTTCATTAAGGAGCAATAGCAGCTTTCACAAATGCCATCTCAGTTCACAGTATGTGCTTTGCATTTAAATAAGAAAGGGTCTTAAGTTCACATTGTAGCTTCTGACAGGCTAATGTTAACTTTTTATCTTTGAGCAAAAAGTTTTAGGGAGATGAACAGCAGTGTCCAAGAATAAATTATCTGGAATATACAGTATTATGTTCTGCAAGTTAGAAAATACCTAATTTTTGAACTTAGAAAGTACCAAAATATTTCATCCTGATGCTCAACTTGTTCATTCAGAATTAAGTCCCACTTAGACTGGATATTTCCTAACAATTAATAATTTGGATTCAGAGTTCTGGCTTTGAGGCACTATTTTTCTGTTCAATTGTGTCCAGTTCTTAGGGACTGCCTGGACAAGTTACTGATGTTTTCTTGGCAAGGTTTTTTTTAGAAGTGGTTTGCCATTGCCACTTTCCTACAGCTGATAGAAAGCGAATGGCCCAAAGTCACCAAGCTGGCTTCATGAATAGAACTAGAACTCATGTTCTTCTGTTTTCTAATCTGGCTCTCAGAAAGTGTTTTAGCTGTGACTTAAAACAGTAACAGAACTTCTGCTATCAAGAAAAACGGATGTGTCCGGTTTGCGATTGCGGTGCAGGCGAATGGTCGGGACGATCACTCTCCCCGCTGTCCAGTTTTCTCCCGCCGGGGGACCCTGAAAAAGGTCGGAAGTCGCCCTGGAGGGGTGACGAGTGTGAAGAGGACCCCTGAGTGATCGCGGAAGGGCGGCAGCCCTCCCATTTGATCTGGGGAAG